ATTTATTTATGGGTGCTGGTAACTGAATAAACCCCTGTGAATGAGAGGGTCCCGTCCTGCATCGCCCCGCCTCCGCTCCTCTGTGAGCCTCAGGTGACCCTGCGTCTCCTGACCCCAGGTTGACCCCGGGTCTGTATGACTTGGGCCGGACGGTGCTTTGCCTCGACTTCATGATCTTCACTCTGCGGCTGCTGCACATTTTCACTGTGAACAAGCAGTTGGGGCCCAAGATTGTCATCGTGAGCAAGATGGTGAGGGCCCTGCGGGGCGAGGGGCACGGTGGAGGGGGAGGAGCCACGGGGGTGTGGCCTTTGGGGCGGGGTGGTGGGCGGGGCCCGGCGGTGGGCGGGGCCGGCTCAGCAGCACCTTCTCCTCTGCAGATGAAGGATGTTTTCTTCTTCCTCTTCTTCCTCTGTGTCTGGCTGGTTGCCTACGGTGTGGCCACAGAGGGGCTGCTAAGGCCCCAAGACCGTGATCTCCCCAATATCCTGCGTCGCGTCTTCTACCGGCCCTACCTGCAGATCTTCGGGCAGATTCCCCAGGAGGACATGGATGGTAGGTGTGGTGACCTGCCACCTCCCTCCGGTCTCCGACCCTCTCCGCTGGGTCTCCGTCCTTCCCTTCCTCTCTGGGCCTCTGTCTTCCATTCTGACCCTCTGTCTCCTTCTGTGGATCTTTGTCCCCCTCTCTGGGTCTCCACCCCACCCCCGCCAGTCCTTTGCCAGGTTGCTGAGTGTCTGCTTTCGCAGTGACCCTCATGACGCCCATGAACTGCTCCTCCGAGGAGGGCACCTGGGCTCAGCCTCCGGGGCGCCAGGCGGGCTCCTGCGTCTCCCTGTACGCTAACTGGCTGGTGGTGCTGCTCCTCGTCATCTTCCTGCTCGTGGCCAACATCCTGCTGCTCAATTTGCTCATTGCCATGTTCAGGTGAGCCCCGGCAGTGTGTGCCCTCGCCTCACCATACCTGCCTCTGACTCAGTTTAACGCCATCGTCTAGTGGTGGTGCTGTGCACCTACACTGCAACGCTCAGGAGGCTGAGGCAGGACAACTGTCTCGAGTTCAAGGTCAGTCTGGGCTACGTAGCA